TGCTGAGGACTTTTCAAGGAGACCTATTACAAAGTTGGCTTACAAAGATAACCGAAGCCAGACATATTTATGAAACACAAAATATTAACAGTATTACAGATCTAATTAAGTGTAAGTACCTAATGATCAACTAAGATTCCTTCATGATTCTTGATATATAAATTTTTCAATAATGAATTCCTTTTAACGTTATTAAATTTTATGTAGCAAAAGAAGTAATGTATCTGTGCTTTAGTCTTATGATACATCCAAGTCGTCACTTGTATTTAGAAGTCGGCTCGACTCAGTGAGCAAGTAATAAAAGTATTGATTATTAACTTTACGATTTTTCCCGTTCCATTCGATACTCGTGCCTAGCTATCACGTGGATGATAACTTGGGGTGTGACTTGCGAGTGTCGTACAACATTCCTACCTACTTCAATATTGAACTTATCAAACTGAAAGGAAAGGTAATATTGACGTAGACTTTCAGACTGTTTTTTCATCTAATAGAAAACTGCTATAATAATTCGTTATATTGTAAATTCGTGAACTTGATTAGCAACAAGTGGTTGTACTAAAGTTGTACTGCTTTATTCCGCGAAGTCATTCGATTCCTAGAACAATTTGTGGACACAAAATTCTTTGTAGAATCTATAATTTGTTTTTCTGCGTTTCATGCTGTGAAATTATGTATTTGTACACGCGGTTTCGGGACAAAAGCTTAATGCGGGATTACGTTTTTTTTTTAGAAAGAAATTCAAGTCATATCTATATACTGCTTGGAACCAGGCCTCAATAATTCTTCTAAATATTATTTCTGATGTTTACGCTACTGCTGTTTTTTTTAATATAACCTGAACGAATTTCAATTGAGGCCAATTATTTTAAAAACGCTTCGCAGTTGACATTTGTGCATACGCGGTTATGCAAACACAGGTGCACTTTTTATTCTTTGTTTTCATAGACAGATGGTAAAATCAATAACAAGTTAGATGAACTTTACGTTAATCCTTGTTCATTTAATTCTCGAACTGGGAATTTTTAGTTAGTTTACGAGTGGGTTTTGGATGTGTTTAATCTGGCAAATGGTATGGTAATGGTGTTTGATTTATGGCAATCAGCTTACCATCTTAGCCTTAGATAGGACTATATCTGTTGAAAACTGGGTGTTACATTTAATATGTACCCGTCTATTAGATACTCTTAACAAAAGTCGTGATTTATTTATTTATTACAGTCACAACGGTTGATAACAAAAACCAATTAAAGTAACTGGACACATTAATAAAATAAACGATGAAATAATAAAACTAGAACAAAACATACATAACGAACCAGAAGAGTAAAACTTATTTAAAAAATGGTAGCATTCATAAGTTCTTCTCGCAGTACTTCAGGCATTCCGATAAATTTCCTTCCATCCGTCTGCAAACAGATCACTAGTTGGATTGGAATCCAAGAGACCATTGAGCGCGGCCAGAGTGCGAAGAATCGGTGCTTTAGCACGTGCTACGGTACGATGTAACGTTAAGTCCAAAATCAGGTCACATCAGCTATACACGATGATTCTCCTAAATATCTCTCGTACAATTTCATAGAACAAAAGCTACACTTTATCTAAAAGCACGTCATATAAAAAACTGCGAAATGGCTCGTTGATTGATTGTTATGTACACAGTTTAATGATCGTGATATGTGTTCTATTTCAGATGCTGGTGCAAGCGCTGTACGACTTCACTCCGCAGGAGGCCGGCGAGCTGGAGTTCAGGCGTGGTGACGTCATCACGGTCACTGACCGCTCCGATCAGCATTGGTGGCAGGTATGTGATAGCACCTTCTCTTTTTATCAATACTCATATGATTAGACTGGGGCAATAAAATAGATCGTATTATACATGCCGTAGATTAGGATGCTAATGCCAAACTGGCCTACTTATTAGCATGGAGAGAATTTCAAACGGCTACTACTGAGAGATTTGGAATAAGACTAATCGGGATCGATCCCGAGACACTAATACTCAAAATCTTTACCTTCTTTGACAGTATTACTTAACTTCTTAACTACTAGTACAACAACAATAAAAATATCGGAGACTAGTCTTAAGTATTTCTGAGATGATCATCTTTAGTAGAATTCGGTGACTGTTGGACATTTTTATTACATTTCTTTGATATGACATGTTTATTACTTTTCACCGAAGTCCCCTCTGATAGTCATTTTAGGTAGAATGGGGATGATGACAGGGTATGAAAATTAAAAATATAATTAGTCCGTAACTTAGGTAATAAAAAAATATTAGACACGTATTTTTTTATTTTGTTGTATAATAAAACAATACTTAGATAAAACGAATCATAGTTTAGGAGTGGGGGCTAAAACGTCATTTCTTAGTATAAAATGTACTGAGAAGTGACGTCACGCGACATTTCAAATCAATATATCTTCGAAACTATTCGTTTCCGTAAGAAAATAAAAAATACGTGTCTAATGTTTTTAAATAATCTACCAGACGGACATTAAAATAAAAATTAGTCGTCTACCCTATTGAAGGCCAGTTATGACGCTATTATCAGGCATCGTGAGTCATTCCCTTTTTCGAAACTTATCTAGTCGATACTGATGATGTACTAGTGATGTAGTTTCTTCTTACAAGAAATGTTTGTTTTAGACTCAGAAATATTTCCAATAACAATAGTATAACTTATGCTTTTTACTCCTTGAAAGGGGAAAATATGTCAAATTTTAACAAATAATTAATAAGTGAAACAAGTGAACCATACCTATCCAGTTTTCACCAGTCTTGTAACTCTTGGACTCACATTACAAACCTGTAGCTTTATAAAGGAGTCGAAATAATTGAATTAGTATAATAACACAGTTTGCTGCTCGTATGTAGGAAGTGTAGATAAGAGGAGTATGAGTGTAAATGTGTGTTGGGGCGTGTTGCAGGGCGAGATAGCGCACCGGCGCGGGCTGTTCCCGGCCTCGTACGTGACGGCGTACCACCAGTCATAGTGCGCGCGCGCCGCTCGCCCTTGCCTCTCTACGCCGCTCGCTCGCGCGCACCGCCCGACAATGATCACACTCGCCTACCTACTATCATATCAATAACTCGAACACAACGAACATTCGCCAAGTAAAGCTACTACATGAAAACGTTATAGTTTTCTCGGTTTTACTACACATTACGTATCCTCGTATCTTATGCGATTTTAAATTATCACTAGCTAGAGTTATTGAGTAAGGCACCAAGTGTCATCAATGTCTCGCTCGGATGATGTTTGATTTTTATATAATGTTTTGACGAGTATATGGTGCTTCGTGTTCACAGCCGATTACGATGATTTTAATATAATAATTTATAACAATAATCGATGGTCGTAATCGTTAATGTCCATTTTACTCGCGAGTTGAAACTGCCTTGATTTTTGCAATACTGTAAGATGTAATTTGGTAGTACAAAAGTTTTTGTGTCGTGTTTCATTGTATTCATTGTTCTGTGACGAATTTATTATTGTCCTCTCATTTTATATTGTGACGATCGCTGGATGAGAGTGAATATTTTATCCTCGAAAACGTGCCAGAATGTTATTTGTAGTTTTTTTGAAATATATGTTTAGTAATAAAAGGTGAAAGGGATCAAATCAGTGCATACTGACTGCTCCCCACAAGTATATAGATTTTCTTATTTGATGTGATTTTTAAAGTATGACCATTATTTATCCCTGTATTAGTCTTTAATGCTCATTATTAAAATATTTACCATTTATACGTTAGTTAAGTGATAATTTTAAGTTCGATTTACATGTATTTTGATCTTGGTTTTTTATATTGGTATACAACAGTGTATAATCTGGTACAGTAATGATGTAGAATGTGAATCTGTAGCGTCCTCCAAAAGCTTAGCTCTCGTTGGGTTAGTCAGCTGGACAGCGGATTGTGTTACGCACAAGTTACAAAACCACGGACATAGATGACTCTGGAATTATTTTATATATCGACGATGTTTTGTATGAACGGATTTATATTGAACGAGGTATTTTATATAACGATATATGTATGTAACACCACGCTTTTTGATAGCTTTTGACGTATTAGTTTGATTCGTTACCTGTACGTATTTTACCATTTACCGATCGTAATGAAGGCAGATGTCTAATATGTTTAACGTAGTCCAATGTTGGTAGTAAGGCGGCGTGGTTGACAGCGACTACGGCACTATTCGGAGTAACGTAACATCGCGCACCGTGGCACTCGCAGTGTCATTGTACTTAGTTAGCGTTTAACATTTAGTCAAGACTTGAAATTAATAAAACTTTGAGTGATCGTTGATCCAATGTAGATATTTATTTTTGTTATTGTATTGTACCCGAAATTACTATATTTATGGAAACATGAACTCGTTAGGCAGATGAATCAGTAGCGTAAGCAGACATGTAATGTAAGAACATTTCACCGTGCGTGTAACTGTATCGTTTAAACAAATTCCCTTTCATCGAAGCATTTAAACTGTGTGTAATTATAGTGTAAGTGTGGTACGGCTCCGTGTGTAACGTGCTCGCTCTGTGTGGTCAATTGAGGATCTAGTACGAGCTTGTTTTACATTTAACGAAATCGGAACGTTACCGCGTTCGGCGCTCTGATTGGTTGGTTCATTGGAGCCGGCCAATCAGGTCGCCGAACGCGGTCTCGTTTCGATTACTTTAAACGTGGAACTAACTCGTACTAAGCCTTCAGTCGAACGATTGTGTGCCGGACTCGGCCCAAACATAATGCCCCTAAATTGTGCTTGTAGCTATAGTGACAAGTAAGTGCATAAAGGCAAGTTTCAATAAATCGGAAGTGCTATAATCTATAATAATCAAATATTTAAATAATTTAAGTTATGATTCTCCAATATTGTGGAAGATGTATAATATTTTTTACTAATAAATTTAATATTATATTTTCTAGTTTTATTTTGGTGCCTTTAATGATAGAGTTGGGTCAACAATTTATAATAATTTATTTTATAAATAATAACATCACAATTTGTAACAATTACCATTTAACATTACTATAAAGCTACATCTAAAACACTAACAGTAAGTTGCGGGCACACTGCAGCCCATACAGGATTCAAAGGAGATCATCATTTTGTACAATTATCAAGGTGATTCATGTACTGCAGTGTCTCCGTATTATTGCAGTAACGATTACATTGAATTGTGGCTTCACATCAATCACAGTACTCATTTGTTTGAAGTATGATTCGTTCAATCTTATACATGCATAATGAATTAGGATGTGTTTTTAGTCCTACATAAAAATTGTTTATTTATTAAGAAAATAATCACATTATTGATTTTATGATGTAAAAATAAGAAAAAATTATAGAATTAATCTATATAGTTCGAAAATATCCCAATTGCAGACCACTCTACCAGCAAGTGTATGACATGGGTGTACGGTGTACACCCATCTCATACATAGTTTTACAAATTTTTATTGCATTCGTGCTGGAGAACCCCGTCTATTGTTCACCTGATGAAAATAGGACGAATTCATTAGCTGCGAGTGTGACCTCAGCTTAACAAACGCACACTGTCGTCAATCAACTTATTATTCACGTTACTTAACATAAGGCCAGTTTCACAAGTTCTTAAAAGATATACATAATTGATAAATAGTTTATATAGTATTGCATTGATTTCCTTTTTGCATTATCACGAGAAAATCAGGATAAGTATATTTCTTATATCCACCAGAATAGGATATCCCTAGAAAACTGACACTGGTCGCAAGAATTGACTACAAATCAATAACTACTGACTATTATTAGACTAATATGTGATTTGTGTTCGATCTCTTTTGTACCATAAGGGAGACATATTAAGAAATATTTTTGTTTATTCCGCACACATTTACTCTTACATAGTTATAGCACCTTTGGCAGCAATAAATACATTATTTTGTAGGATTATTATATGCAATATTGTATTACAATGTACCTATTTGTGCAAGCTCCGATGATCTTATTCTATGGCCTTGAAAAACATGATCGTTGTGCAAAAAGCATTTCCTAAATAAACAAATCAAAAATAAATAATAACAAAAATATACTTTTGCTAGAAACAACAGGCATTTTCCTATATAAATCTTTTAAACTTAATAAATAATTGTTTCTCTGACTTTTAGAAGCCAGATAAATATTATACATTTATCTCGCTTGAGCCATAATATATTAGCAATTGTATCTCACTAAACAATGGTCTCTTAATAGAGACCAAAATAAATAAAAATGTACACAAGTTTAATGTACTTTATGTAGGTAACTACATGATGTATCGAAATAATCTCAAAAGATTTAATTATTATTTCAATCAGGCATAAATAAATTAGAATCTTGCCAAACTTCCGAATTTGTCTTAGTTGACTTTTAGTATTTTTATGCTTTAATTCATTTTATTTTTCCAACTTGTATGTCATAAAAGTTTAATATAGATTTTCGAATGATTTGGTTAAGTATTATTGTTCTAGACACAGGTAACTAGGTTGCTAGCTCAGAGCTAGCACCACGACCATACCCAAGACTTAACAAGCTAAGAAGTCAGGAACTGAGGTATATGAACGTAGCCAGATTTGAAGGTGACATTTAAGTACATGTTAAGTACTTTGTCAAACGTTTTAAACTATGTACTATCTACTAGTGGGAAAAAGAGCTTAAAAGTTGACCAATGGTGAATAGTAGGTAAGTAACCCCGCAGAACTCGATGATGCTATAAACCCGTGGGCAAAATAGTTCTATTTATACCAGTTTTTTTTTTCGTTACAAAATCTTCAAGAAAAACATAATTATTATCTTGAAGTTTTGAGAAGAAAAAAAGAATATTTTTTCAATAGGTTCAACCTGGCTACGTTTTCAAATCATATTAAAACTAAAACGTATGTCCCCCTATAGCCAACATGATGTTCTCGAAGGCTATCCAGTTGATGAGCGCCCAGGGTCCCAGCCTCATCCAGAGTGGCAGGAAACCTTTGTACATGGACAATATGCCTTCATTCTTGATGGATTGCTGCAGACAATCTATCATACCTCGGTACGATAAGCCCCTGGAAATGGAGAAAATTGTCGTAAGTATATCATATTATTATTGTTATTTTCATATTTGCTACAATATCGCACTGGGTTTAGCCTATAAGGATAATTGTATGTTGTGTTTAAATAAATAAATAAAATATTTTTAATTGAAGAGTTAAGATGAAGACCTAATTAAAGTATTACGACTAGGTCATCATCATCGTTATACAACGTCTACTGCTGAACAAAATTCAATACCCGAGAGGCAGTACAAAATGCCTTTGAACAATATATTGCCTCCCGTCCAACTGATTTCTTTAAGAAAGGCATCATAAACTGCCACTGCGTTGGCAAAGATGCATTGATTGCATGGGTGATTACTTCGATTCATCATATCAGTCCACTGCTGAACATAGGCCTCCCCAATGACTTCCAGATAGCCTAATTAGAAGCGACCTACATCCAGATGTTCCCTGAGACTCACAAGGAAGATTACCTAATTAAAGTCACAGGACTCGCAGACTGTGACTAGCTGTAATTAGATCATCTGTCTACCTTGTGTGTGGCCGTCCAGCGCTGCATTTACAGGTGCTTTTATTTAATAATCTTTGTAGCACTATGAAACCAACGTCACTAATTATGAGGACTAATAGTCTACAATCGCAACTTTATGGTGTGAACTTTTAAGTAGTAATTAGGTCTCTTGAACAATACTAATTAAACTGTTTATCCAGCGTTAAGTGCAATCATAGCACCACATACGCCATCTTTTTCGTTAGTTTCTCAGTCCCATAATTTTATTAACCTGACTACTTAAATTCATGGGAAAATTCTCACATAGTTCTCTAAAAAAATAATAAAGCTTAGTGCATCGTTACTCTAAAATAGACGCAACCGAAAATACAACTGCAACAGACGTATGCGAGTTCAAAAATAGAACAGTCGAGTTTGATTGGCGCGTTCAGTTCAATACTCTAAAATCATTCGAGCGTGCACCGCGTCCTGCGAGTGCGACTTTGACCTCGTTCCTGTGACCTCGACCGCGTACCTACGCTCACAACCTATTCACATCACCGTGATATAAATAGCTAGCCAAAACAACCATTTGGAATTTCAGTTTAGTAGCAAAATTATCGGTGGTTTGAGCAAATAAACAACAATGTTTGTATGTCAGCTGTTTTGGTGATATTCGTGCACACACAATGTTAGAATTTAATGGAATATTTTAAGGACATTACGTAATATTTCCGCGGTTCTATCACACGGTTGTTATTTAATATTTACCTCTAGTGATAACAATGAACAATTCTTTTTCGGGAAACGTACCTATGTTTTTATATCGTAACTTTATTTTTATCTATGAGGCAATGACATTTAGCATATGATAATGAACGCCTACAAGCATGGCTTAGTATGTGAGCGTTGGTAGTTAATGCTTTGCAAATAAAAATACTGCGACTTTTTGCCAACAACTCAAGGGGAAATAATGGTACAAAAAGTTGTAGTAAGAACAAACAGATGTTACTATGTAAAATAATTATATCTATGAGTAATGTGACTGCTTAGCACATTATTCAGTTTACACAGAGCTAAATATAAAAACAATGTACATTTTTCATGACCCATAATTCATTAAGAATGTTAATATGAATAATGCAATTTCAAATATTCATAAAACAGACTTCCAACGACGATATACTTATGACTCAATTGTGTAGACAACGTTGACGCATAACTGAACTTTAGACTCCGTAATTAATTTGTTAGGCAGTCAAGTATAATAAGGTCATAAAAACAATGTTCGTAATAAAAATAACTAAGAAGATTAGCCTTAATGAGTATTTATGTAAATAAAGCAAAACAATTGTATCATTAGTTAGTAGATGCATAAAGACAAAAGCTTAGAATAAAAATGTTCAAATCTATACCAACATTTAAAAATAACCTTGAAAAAAACATAAATACTCTTTAAACACCATGTAAAATAATGTAAAGAGTGTAAACAGCAGAGTTACGCTTCGTTATGAAGTATTGATTGCTTTTTACGAAGCCCTGCGTCCCTCACCCCATGTTTTGGCGAGGCAGTCGGGATCAAAGCCAAACTGTGAGTGACGGTCCCTAAATTGGTTTTAATGAAACCTAACGATTGTCTAGCCAGTCACTGACTAATTGTTTCGATTCATATATTATGTGGATGGCATGACATGGCTTTTGATAGGTAAGTTGGTGCTTCTGTACACGCTATCCGTCAAAAATAACGAAATTGTATAAGAAAAGTCCAGAAACAAAATATTACCTGAATGTGAAGTATATTTATATAGAAAAAAATATTGTTTAAACTGTTAAACACTGCTATTGTTTGTGTTATTGAAGTTTAAACCTTTATTTCTGCGGTGGTGTGTGGTCCATGTGAGAACTTTTAAATTTCAACGCCGTATTAAATACGAAGGGTATTATTTCACGGGTGTGATATTTAATTGGTTTTCTGTCATAATCTAGAGAGCAATTAAACTGTCAAACACCAAGCGGTCACCGGTGACCGCAACCTATTGTTCTATAATTGTGTCTACAAAACCGGTACTCGACGAGTTAATTACGGAGTTATATGATTTAGGGGCTTTTTTAATGTATCTTAAACGGGAACGGAAGCCAATGAATGCAAGTGGCTAGTTGTCATTCGATGTAGAGGACTAAGGGGAAAGCCTTTGTTCAGCAGTCGACGTCTTCCGGCTGATGATGATGGTCTTAGGAACAACATAATAAGTTACTGAATTACCTTCCATCAGGTCCCACGGGTTGGTTCATAAGTCTGGTCTTAAGTACGTCAGCTGGTGTGCCAAGTACTGCAGCCACGAACCCAGCAGTGAATGCAGCAGCTCCGTGAACCAAGGCATTGTCCGCCATACCGAATTCACGCATTAAGAACTGTTTGGTGTAGTCGTACGCTGCTAAGTCACCCATGTTCACGAGGGCAGCGCGTTGCACGTTGGGCACAGCTCCTAAAATTACATTTATTATGTCATTAGTCTAAAACTGCCTCGATGGCCGAGTGGTCGCAAGTGCGACTACCGGGCAAGGGGTCGAGCAAAGTAAAACTGGTTTTATCAAAAAATCTCAGTGGTAGCACGGAGTCTGAAAATGTGCCCGGTATATGGCAATAGGCTCGCCCCCTATTACATGGGACTCATAACGTGAATAGTGAAGTGTGGGTGTTACTTCTGTGTGGACCTCTGCCTACCCCTTCGGGGATAGAAGGCGTGATGTTATGTAAGTATTAGTCTAAAAAATAAAGTTTCTTAGTATCCCACTTAAATGCTTTTACAAACATTGAAATATTTGTTTTGTATTGGATGCATTCTTGCGAGTTTGAGTTTTATCACTCCTATTTAGCACAATTTTACCACTGCTCTCAATATTCGTGCTCAACAAATATGAAGCCCATCAAAATACCTAATAGATATATAAAGAAAATCTATTACATTTTTATTGAACGGGCACCGTTCCAATTTCATATTATGACGGGGGATTTTGGAAGGAAAAACGAGAATTCGATACGTTAGCAGAATTATTCTAGTACAACTGTTTATAGGCCTATTCAAATAGTTGTATAGAGCAAAATAATTACTTTGTTCGGTCCAAAATGGTGAATTGATTATTGTTTGTCTAGTAATTAATGTTAGCTACTAGTTGTGTAACAACCAAACTATTATGTTCGAATTCGAAGCCATTATCTCGCTACTCGTTTATGTTTCTAATAACTTTTATGATAATACTAGCTTCTGCCCGCGACTTCGTACGCGCAATCCCGATATTTCCCGTTCCCGTTCTTGATTTTCGGTAAAAAGTAAAAAAAAGTATTGGGTAAAAAGTACCCTATGTCCGTCTCCTGGTTCTAAGCTACCTCCCCACCAATTTTCATCCAAATCGATGTAACCGTTCTTGAGTTATAAATAGTGTAACTAACACGACTTTCTTTTATATATATAGATTATCCTTTACTAGGCTGACATAGCCTATTCAATAGGCTTAAGGGCTTTAACCAATGGCCCTATTGGTTAAAGCCCCTAAAATAAAATAGATTAAAAATAATTCTTTACTAATAAATCGTAACGATAAGTATTCTGCTTTCATTTTTGTTGTTTAATAAATTAAGTACCTACCTGGTTGACCAAACTTCGCTCGGTGTTTTTCTAGTAAGAAACCTAGATAGATCGATTTATCACCCCCGAAACCTCCTCAATACAAAAATTCAACAAAATCATTGAAGTCGTTTCCGAGATCGCTGATACATATATACAAGAATTGCTTGTTTAAAGGTAGGATTAGATAAGATTTGGTCAAAATCTATGATGCCGATCCCCAATGACCCTCAAAGCGCCAAAAGTCGGTAAAGCAATAATTGTAACCCCTTTGGTGTTGCGACTTGAGTGTCCATGGGTGGCGCTGGCGCTGATTGCTCACTGCGCTGTATTGCGTTTGTTATTCGTGTGGTCGTTTGCTTCCCATTTCCTTCATAAAATATGATGAAAACATTCATCAAGACTTAAAACATAAAAATTTACCCGCAGGTAAAATTTTAAACCTTGTTTTACTTACTGCCTCATTGGCCGAGTGGTCGCAAGTGCGAGTGCCGGTTCTCGGGTTCGATTCCCGGGTCGGGCAAAGTATTACTGGGTTTGCACAAACCTCAGTAGTAGTACGGAGTCTGAAATTGTGCCCGGTATATGGCAATAGGCTCACCCTCTATTACATAGGACTCATAACATAAATAGTGAAAAGTGGATGTTACATTGTAAAGTGGTATAATGTGCACCTCTGCCTACCACTTCGGGGATAAAAGGCGTGATTTTATGTTATTTTTTACTTACCTCTCCAAAAGCCTCTAAGCCCAGCTTCTTTATATAGCATCTTGTAACAATCTCTGCAGTTGGAGAACCGTTTCGGCTTGCCCTGTAAGACCCGGCGGCCTTCAGCTTGCATCTGTACTTTCACGAGGTCTGTAGGCGACGCGATCAGCTGCGCCAATGCTCCTGCCGCTAACCCACCTGCCGAACTTCGTAATAATTATGTTTTGTTGTTGCAAGCCTGTTTATTATTTGTATTATTTAAAATCAATATTTATTATAATTGCTTCCGCAGTATAACTTTCGATAAGTTGATACTTAAACTGTCAAACACCAAGCGGTCACCGGTGACCGCAACCTATTGTTCTATAATTGTGTCTATAATGACGGTACTCGACTCTACAATATAGTTAGTGGAGAGCGGTCACCGGTAACCGCTTGGGTATAAATGGGACCCCTAAATCTTAAGCTGCCTAAATATAATGTACCCGCCAGAGGCTCTTATTGCGAGTCACTAATGCACCTCTAAATAGCACTACCTCCTTTATTACACATTAAAATATCTCCAGGGGAATTCAATAGACGGTTGCACTATAGAATTTCTCAGTTATCGAATATCCTCAGTTATACAGACAGTCTGATTATTACAAGTCTACTACTGAGCCTCTTTATGTCGATACAAGGCCGTTGTGCAAAGCCACGGATGGCAACGTTAATGAAAGCGGATCGGCTTAGTCGAACGTAATACGATGAGAACTAAGACTTTCCAATGAATATTCTATTTCTTGAATAAGAAGATTATAAGGACGGTTGTATTAATATTCAGCCTTTAAGCTTTGTTATTAAAAGTTCCGTTTTATTGATTAGTTTCAATAAAAGTCCAAGACCTCTCAAACTTCCAGCAAATTCAATCAGGTAAGTATCTATTTTTATTCTTAATTCTTCCTGGGAAAAAATTGCGTTTTTTCTTCAGAACTGATTCGGTATCATTTCAAGTAGATGTTTAGTTGATTGATGAAACCTAAAACACCAAATTACCACGTTACAACTACAAAAAATACAATTCTCTCACCCACGGAAGCAATTCCAAGTGACACTTTTCCGTTTTCATCTTTGAAGTGGTTTCTGAACTGCTCGTAGAAGATGAGTCGGCAGCCTGAGTAGATGGCATGGCGTTGGAACATGGGCATCAAGCCGGTCCAGAGCTTGGTGACACCTTCCTGCTTCGCTATACCCACCGCTGTCTTAATCATGCCGTGGTTCTCCAACTGTTGAGGGCGAAATAATAGTAGAAGTGTACCTGATATCACTAAATCAAAAATAATGAAATTGTGTTCCGATTGAAGTTCTTTGTTTTGGGATAAGCCAGTAAACGAGCAGACCGATCACCTGATGGTAAGCAATGGAGATCGGCCATGGATACCCAGAACGACTGAAGAGACGTTATAAGTGCGTTACCAGCCTTTTAGGGATTAGGAATTTGAAGATTGTTGGGGTTCAGAGATTGGGGAGAAGGGGTGGGGTTAATTGGGCCTCCGGTTACCTCACTCATACGACGAAACACAACGCAAGCATTGTTTTACGTTATTCACCCGATGGTAAGCAATGAGGCCGTGGTATCACTCTGGTCGAGCTGGCCCATTCGTGCCGAAGCATGGCTCTCCCACACTTACTACGTAAGTACCGAAATCATACAAACATTGTCGCAATAATTGTGAAAAGTTGGATTATACAGTTCACTTTTTACTACTAGTCCAACAGATAAATCAAATCTCTGTCTATAAGTAGGTACCCTACATCAGCATATCCTACATATTAAAAGTTTTATAATAGGTTCAAACTGCGTACACATCTAACAAACTCGTTAGAACTAAAATCGATAGCGAGAACGCGGGAGGCTCATGTTCAGACTTTCAATAAGTTAAAGTACTTAAACATTGATATGTCTTTCAAATACTAGAAAAGTAGAAAATTATCTATCCGTTTCGAAATTCGAAGGAATGCAAGAAATCAAGACAAGATTTGTATGTATCCATTGAGTGTTATGTTGCAGATAGGAATATCATATTCCATTACCCAGAGATGGCAATGTAGTGATATTCAGGTAGGCCACAGCCTACATGGGACCTTTAAAGGGCAAAGACGCTGTTTGGGACCATGTCAAATTGGAATAGTACCTACCTACCTGTATGTAATTGGGATGATGACCAGGTATGAAAATTAAAAATCTAATTAGTCTGTAAGTTAGGTAATGAAAAAATATTAGACATGTATTTTTTTATTCTGTCGTTAATAACACAATACTTAGATAAAGCGAAACAAAGTTTAGGAGGGGGGGGGGGGCTTAAACGTCTACGTATAAAGTGTACATAGAAGTGACGTCACGCGACATTTAAAATCAATATATCGTCGAAAGTATTCGTTTCTGTAAGAAAATAAAAAATACGTGTCTAATGATTCCAAATAATCTACCAGACGGACATTAAAATAAAAATTAGGCATCTACCCTATTCTATAAGTCAATTGTCGACCATTTAAATCGTGTCATTATTTCCAATACTAGCCTTCATAATCGTCGTTAAGCTACTTGTGAATGCAATTATTATTCATGAGACTCATAGACAAAGCTCCTAGACAAACTACCTACGTCCCTGTGTCTAATTACACATGCACCCATAGATAGCACCCACACCCTTCAACCAGGAGCATGATGCTTCGAATGGGGATTAATGCCCGCTGCAGGGGAGTAACGTGTGTTGGTGGTCGAGGCATACACGTACATACCTATGTTCATTGTTCATACAGGGGACCGGTACACACAAGCATAGCTACGTAATAATTGCATAACTCCATGATGTCTATAAATGGTGACGTAACCAGATTTGTATTTTATTAAAAGTTAATCTTAAGGTGTATTTGAAAGAGTGTTTGAGCGTTTTTGTCATTATTGCATGTCGCCATAGAGCGGTGTGAGATAGGTTCCCAGTTAGGACGCTGGAGACTGGTGATCTAAGTCATATAGGCTACTTCTTTTCCTTTAACTATGCAGGCGAAGCCACTGGCCAAATGTCTAAGTACCTATTCATAATCTTCGAGCACGTAAAATGCAGTAGATCCTTTATGTTAACAACCTCTCGCGCGTCTCGTACATGGGTTTAATAGAAAGCGAATGAACTATTCTGTTCAATCAAATAAAGAACGGGTTGCAACTTGAAAATATACATCACAGAAAAAGTTTTCAATCGGTGCAAGTCACTCTCGTACACCTGCTGTGTAAAGTTGCGGCGATGGGCACTCAACTGTCTCGTACACCCGTGTGTACAAGACACGCGCGAGAGGTTAATCATAAACATGTCTACAACGTTACCATTTACAAATTACAATATTATCGTAAAACACAATACCTATATTTAAAAGTCGATGTTCGCGTTCTATCCGACCTTTGCTAATCTAATAGGCATGGATTTTCCGTCCGTTTTCTACTTAATCCACTTCACTTCAGGATTATGACGTCATTGTATTATATGAGAGCCTATTGACTTTGGCTTAACTTCATTAGTAAAGTGCTTCATTTTATGGTTGACTAGCAAATCCACTAACAGCTTTTATAAAAGGCGAGTCTTACTTCAATTTAGTATAATAAGTGTCTAAGGACACTTTAAATGCATAAGTAAGTAGATGAATAAATTAAATAAGTCCCCGGTGAGCTAGACAGAATACCTACAGTAACGCAATCGGAATACTTTTCTTCGGAATGACACATTTGCAATTGTCAATTGAGACAGAAGGTTGTTCAAGTTATGGTATCCAACTATCCATGCATATTCCATTTGTTAAAACCGTTATAGAACACTAATATACGATAACGGACTCAATTTCATTTCTACTGTGATAATTAAATTAGATATTTGTGAATCTTACCTTGTATCCATGTTTGGCGGCAGCAACTTCTGATTGGATCTGTAGTCTTGTCTTCGTCAAATCGAATGGGTATGTTGCTGTAAAGAAATAATAATTATATTAATGTCTGGAGATCCATTACGTAATAAAAGCAAATAATTGGAAAATAATATATCATGGTCATTATCATTAAACTATAGAAAGGAAACTCATTATTTAAATATTTTCTACCCTTGGCAAATTGTAAATAAAATAGTCGAACGGCACTCAAATGAAAACAAAGCAATCGTTTTAATTAATTTATTTACTCGTCGACATTTCCTGGATTATTAATTTACATTCAATTGCAATTCCGTGGAATTGAATTTATTAGAATAACAGCAGTGACTCATTAATTAGTTTATATTTTGTACTTTTGTAGCTGTATTAGATTACAGATTGCTAAAGTATTTAATACATTAAATGACTGAAGTATAACTTGAAAGTTTTAATAACTTATGTGTGTTTCGATAACTTAATAGGGAAGATTCTATGTTTTTATAATAACTATCGTTAGACAAGCTAAATTAACTAAAATCACGGGTTACTCACGTGAATATGCTGAGAAAAGATCTACTTGTAGCTCGAACTACAGAGGGCATATATATATAAAAATGAATCCCTTTCTCCCTTGGTCACTGCTTCACGCGTGAATGGCTGGAGCTTTTTGTTGTATTTGTTATTATTAGGAGAAGGTTCTTGAGTAGAAGTAAGTAGTAGTCTCTAGAAAAAATTCTGAAAATCCTACGGGAACGGGAGAAAACGGGATTGCGCATACGAAGTCGCGGGCAGAACTAGTAAATCAATATTTATGTATTTGATAACAGTGAATTATCGAATTAAAAAGAAAGAAAACACTTCCTTTAACATTTTGTCGGTTTAAACTGTCAAACACCAAGCGGTCACCGGTGACCGCAACCTATTGTTCTATAATTGTGTCTACAAAACCGGTACTCGACGAGTTAACATGATATTAATCATTTTAAATCCTTTCATTAACCGGCACTAGAAAATACAGTCACGCTTTCCAATTCAAGAGGCTTTTCTGATTAAAATCATTATCAGTAGAGCATTAGCACCACTTGAAGCACTCTTTAGAAGGTATAAACTCTACTTGAATGTAAAAAGCTTTTGAATTCTAACGACATGAAACACCGAGGGTTATTCTGTTATTCGGGAGTTCTGAGCGTAAAGGGCGTTGCTAGGATTCAAGTTCAACTGTGCATGGGAATCCTTGTGATGTCTCGGAAGGGATAAAATAAGGGTCTGTTTATACCGGATGCCGGTATCCGGTTTTAATTCCGTTTATCGTGCTGTGACCATCATTCGAATTAGAAATTAGGTGAGCGGTTGTGTTGTAGAGTAATTAAGTTTGTAGACTTAAGTATTGTTTGGATTATTCGATTTGTGACTTTATTTACTGAACGACTTTACTAAATAGCAGTTTAATACTATACATTTAGGTACGATACTAAAGATGTGTTTTTATTTTTGCTTAATATTTCTAGATTTCCACTGGAGAATTAAGGGAGTGCCATATTCTTCAATAAATTAGGTATTTAACACGTTAAACGCCATGGGGGTCACCGGTGACCGACGTTAGCGGAGGATTTACCTTCAACAGTTTTCTATTGGCCTTAAGGAGTTTTTAACTCCAAACCCAAATGAAGTAAGTTTAAAACCGACATAATAATTCATTTTATTATCTCCTGTTCTATCATATTTAGATTAATAATGTACCATACTGTGATATCGTATATACCTGCTTCAGCGGCCCAGGAGCCGAGCACAGCGACACCGTACCGCGCGCCGACGGAATCCGTCAGCGAGTGGACTGGGTGGTCGGCGTTGCGTAGCACTGGCATTGTTGATGGTTGATTGGTTCTCACCGCACTTTGTCACCGGATCTGTTCATAATACCTGCAGAAAAAACATTGTTGTGTTAGTATGATTAACTTTAAATAATAGTTATAACACTTTTTAACTATAGAGGTATATGTCTGTCTTTCTTAAAGCAGACAGATCGCGATGAAGGAACTTTTATGGATGCCCTCTGCCCCCATTAAGGGTACCTAAATAGTTTCTTTATTAATGCTGACCTACAGCTTGTACTTCCTAGGTACCAAACCACAGAAATGTTAAAAGTTACTTCTTTAATATATCTGTGTTCCAAACTCATATCAAAATATTGTGCAGAGCAGAGATATCTTCTTATAATGAATGTCCTATTAATTTATAGGAAGAACCTAGGAAGTACAAGCTTGTAGGTCAGCATAATAAAGAAACCTATAAATAATACCTAATTAGAACTTTTTTATTTAATAAACGCATAAGGACATTGCACTTTTAAAAGATGACGTAGTTAATGATACCTACGTAACAGCTAGTTAAGTAGCTATTCAGCTTTTTAGTCTGTGGTAAGAAAAAATGGCGCGTCCAGATGTACGCCATCTGCTATCTAGTTCCATATTGTGCGCCTAAAGCACTATAACATGTGGATGTGCGTCCTGCGGCTTGATTAATGAGAGTAATAGACGTCGTAATATAGTCAGTAACTGAATAATGAAATGCCAAGCGTATGGACCGAGCTTACGAAAGGCGAATATCTGTTCCATTATTGAAACTAACTACAACAGTTTTCTCAAAGATAAATGCGTAATTTTGAGTTCCTAAATCTACAAAAAAGTACCTACTCTCTCGAAAATATTTTACGTTTTACGATACACGTAATGGTTTGTAGTTCTTTTATTATTTAATGTTGTAGTAGTGTTTTAAGTTCAGATACTGTCAATTACTAACGATTTTGTTTCTTGAGTACCTACGTAATTAGGATTAGTAAATTATTTACTTGTAGTTAAGTGTAACTGAATTTATCGTATTAGGTGTGCCTGTGACGACAAATGTAATGATTAGAAATAAATAAATCAATCAAGTACGAATTACTTACATGCATAACATAACATAACATCACGCCTTTTATCCCCGAAAGGTGCACATTACGGCTTAATGCCACTGTACAATGTAACACCCACTTTTCACTATTTTATATTATGAGTCCCATGTAATTGGGGGGTGAGTCTATTGCCATATACCGGGCACAATTCCATGCTACTACAGCGAATTTTTAGAAATACATACCTAATGAAATGCTTAAATGTGCCCTTGTAGTTATATACAACGTCATAAAATAAAAAATAGAAGCTTATCGATTTATGAGTCTTATTACCACGCAATCGATCATCGCCTCACTCGACTCAAACTAATGGTTTGCTTTAATGAGTATGTCAGCGTGTTCGGAATAACTTCCATTTTTCATACATCCATGGCAATGAACTCTATGGCAATGCCTTCGTGTAGTGTTGGAAGAAATTATTTTAATGCTTGCTATGATTTCTAATTATGTATCTGCATACTTATAATTTACACATAGGTAGTCTTAATTGATGAAGAAAATAATAAACAGCTATTAGACTACTAAGTACGAACTAGTTTTAATATTGGCGGTCCGCCCGGCTTCTCAAAGTTCTCACGGATGCTTTTTTCCGCCTTTACCGCAGATTTTTTAGTCATTAAAAATAAAAAAATCTGAAAATTACAGTAGGTAAATACATATAAGTATTGCATTCACAACGCAAAATGTATTTTGCATAAGTTTAATACCTAACCAATATTCCGGATAAATAAATTTAATTAGGTGTCTAACTTCCTAATGTATCTAATAACTATGTAGATAAGCATGACATAATCTTGTTTTGTAAACCAATTACGGTGCACTAATTAAAATAAACAAACATTTGTTATCTAACGGGTGGTGTAGGCGCCTATGTTTATTACTATGAGCTTGTTGATTGGACAGACGATTGACTATCAAAACAAAAGTATAATCAGGTCTATGAAATACCCATAGAGAGTATATAATATCTTAACACTACTATAACAGCTTCAGCAGTTATTAATTAGTGATTGACAGCACGGTTGGCGCGGTGGCTAGACAAATAGGATAGATGCCTACCTATTTTTTTTATTTTAATGTCCGTCTGGTAGATTATTTCAAATCATTAGTCACGTATTTATTATTTTCTTACAGAAACGAATACTTTCGACGATAATATATTGATTTGAAATGTCGCGTGACGTCACTTCTATTTTAGCCCCCACTCCTAAACTTTGATTCGTTTTATCTAAGTATTGTTTTATTATACGACAAAATAAAAAAATACGTGTATAATATTTTTTATTACCTAACTTACGGACTAATTAGATTTTTAATTTTCATACCCTGTCATCATCCCAATTAGCTGCCGCGCAACGTATCGCTGGTTCAATTCCTGCACGGACCAACTCTTTATGTGATTCTGGGACAACTCTTTATGTGGATCTGGGAGACATATGTATGTGAGTTTGTATGTTTTGTAAACGCACCCACGACACAGGAGAAAACCCTAATGTGGGGCGACGTTTCAATAAAAATTGAACACTTCATCATTTCACTTTTTTCAACATGTTTATCAATTACAAAAAATGTGTTACTCTTTCAGATGAAACTATTGTATTCAGCGGTATATATACCGCAATATACCAAGTATGGTATGGTATATATCAAGACTTTTTTAAGGCGGGAAAATCATGGAATGACTTCTCCCGCCTGGGTGAGGCGGAAGGGAGTGTCAGATTCTTACTGACTAAAAACCACCCCGTTCATACTCCTGCACTTCGAGCCGGAGCCCTGGTAACCCGTTAGGTTCGCCACGACGTATACGTATATATCAAGACTGGATTTAATACATCTGTTGCATTTTATCGTCCCTGCATATGGTGCCAATTAGGTAAGTCTAGAGCGAAAATATAAGTACTTAAGAACATGTGAGACTAGATATAGGTAAGACATTTTTACACTTTTTTGTTAAGACTATAAAGGTAGATGCCTATTTTACGGTATACAACAGAGAACATACCCACCTACGTGAGTTTAACTTCCAAAACATTTACAAAGCAATGTCGGCAGCAATCCATCAATGTAAATCAAATTGAGCTAACACAGGTCCATTCTGTGCAGAAACCATAAAGCTGACTTCTTGATAACGATAGCGTTCGTAGGCACGCTAGCAACAAACCATTATTACAAATTAAGTCATCAACGTTCATTAAGTTTAATGTCACATTTATCACAATGTCGATAAGGATCATTATTGATTTCAACTTTTATGACATAAGATTTGCAACAGTTACAAATATTTTCTTTTTTCAAAGCGTAATGAAAATGTATGTAAGTGCATATCTTCTGAACTACTCGATTAAATTGAATATTTGTTATTGTCAGGACAATTCACTGGGACGACATATTCACCGGGAACGATATCGAGAAACAGAACTTGAATGGAGCTTGGGTGGACCCCTAGTAAGTACCCCATACGTATTCCCGTATATCCCCAAGCGGTCACCGGTGACCGCTCTGCACTGACTACGTTATAGACCTTATTTCCAATGTTTAGAGACTACTTTCGTATGAACAAATTTAGGGAATGATTTTCCACAATTTTCAACAGGTTAAATCAGAATTATTTTGATTAGGTATCTAGCATTTTTGCCTCACATTTATTATCCATTACAACTTAAATAGACCAACATTTTGCAGACCATTTACCCTACCTTTTGTACATATGTAATGGAAGTAATATGCAAACTACAAACTACATTGGCACATATTTACACGCTGTGCTATTGAGAATTTTAATATCGACGGAACTCAATAACTTTACTGTGCAATTCCGCTTGGACACACCAGTCCAACGAGAAACTTAACTGTTATTTTTTAACGTCAGATTAATCGTAACTAGTTATTTGACGTCATATTGGCGTCAAGACATGCCTTCTTACCTTATTATATTGTGTATCGGATTATACATAATAATATGATGAATGTTTATTTTCTTAAGCTTAAGCGGAGACTACGTCGCGTAGTGGTATACCTACCTACTTACATAATTATGGAATACGTTTATAACGTTTACTAGCTTTTACCCGCGGCTTCGCTAGCGTCACAAAAGGAATAAAAAGTAGCCTATGTGACATATACCATTACACACAGCGCCATCTATACCAATACTTTTGTTTTCCCTCGGGAATATCAAATTTTTCCGGAATAAAAAGTACCCTATTATTTAATCCAGACTTCTAACTTTACGTCTGCAAATTCAAAGCAATCGGTTTAGTAGTTACGGCGTGAAAGCGGAACAAACAAACAAACTCACTTTCTAATTTATAATATTAGTAAGGATGGGCGTTAAAAAATGCAACTTACAACGGCATTAGAAATTAAATAAAAAGTATGAAATGGAATGTAAAAACTAAGTTTAACTCGTCGAGTACCGGTTTTGTAGACACAATTATAGAACAATAGGTTGCGGTCACCGGTGACCGCTTGGTGTTTGACAGTTTAATAATAAATACTCAAACCGCTCTAAACTGAAGTGAACAACCGATTGATTCCTTTGACTTTTCAAACAATTGAATGTCACTCTACAGCTACGAATTAGTCATACTAATATTTTCTTTTTGGTTACTTCTTTGTGGACTTTGTAGTTAATAACACCTTCTGACAGTTTGGAATAGGTCTAATGGAGAATAGGCCTACGTAAAAGGGGTTTCCATAATCCTCATAATTGGCTGGCGAGTTGCAGATCGCAGTTTATTAACGCTGTCCAGACTTTGTTAATGTAGTTCTTAGTATAGTACCTAAGTGTAGAACAACTGAATACTTTAAAAGGATAACTGTAGCTATATAGAGGTGAAGCTGAAATGTTTGTTTGTATGCAATTAATTTTGATAGCCGACGTGGAACACGCACAAACGCTTCCGCACCCAAAGGGTGACGGCGGCCGAACCCTATTACTAAAGCTCCGTTCGCCGTCTGTCCATCTATCTGTCTGTCACAAGGCTGTAAGTATGGGTAGTTACATATTATTATGTTTAGTAACGAAATATCTATTATGTCTGTGAGGGTTTTACGCTGGTAAAGGTACTAATGTGACATTAAGTTGTTACATTTATACTAAGACTGGAAAATAAGTTGTCATTTGCGAAGTAAGTTTTGAAACTATAACGCGGCTCTTAATTCAGTTATTTCAAGAAATAAATGACTGTAAGTTATCTCTCATTAGTCATTACCAACAAATCTCATTTTATCGGTAACAAATCTCGTGAATTTATCGTTAACTTGGCAATCGATCTTTACTATTGGACTTACGTAAAGGTCACGTCGTGTCGAGTACGAGATCGTATGTAACGTGAGTACTTAACAACACGTAGTAACGCGTGTACCTACGTAGGTACATGGTAAAGTAAATATACAGAAGGTTAGTCGACAAACACATATCAACACGCCTTTTATCCCCGAAGAGGTAAGCAAAGGTGCACATTATGGCACTTAATGCCACGGTAGAATGTAACACCCACTTTTTCATTATATTTATGTTATGAGTCCCATGTAATAGGGGGTGAGCCTATTGCCATATACCGGGCACAATTCCAGACTCCGTGCTACTACTGAGATTTTTTTTAAAAAAACCCTTTAATATTTTGGCTGACCCAGGAATCGAACCTGAGACCGAGACCCGAGACGGTGTACCTGACAGTCGCACTTGCGACCACTCGGCCAACGAGGCTGTGAGAAGTTAGCTGAGAAACCAAAAGTTAAATGCTAAATTAAACAAAATGTCCTCTCTTCATGTTGATGAATAATGTAGCTTTTGCACTGCGCCAAGAAGTTTTGACGTCTCAATAATGTGAGCAATGTTTTCTTATTACTGCACATCCCGTTGAAGTATTTAATCCGGTTAAGCAAACAGGTGTTCTTAATAAAGACATCTGCGAAATTCCTTAGTAAAAATAATAGGTACACGCTATACTCAGTGATGTTTGTAAAAGAAACACTCCAATGTTCCTCAATACCCCGGTTTTTCTTCTAAAAGATACACAATAAAATAATTCACATGTCCTTTTAAACTACTGGTGGATTAGCAAGTCAGCCATTTGCGGTTAACAAGATCATGTTTGTCTATATTGCACTAAGGAACTTCCTTTGAAAGTTCCTTACTAGGAAATAGGAATGATACGATTGCTTTGGTTGGCTCTGTCGTATGGGCCTCTGACTCCCATGATATTAAATGTATCTACGCTGCGCAACAACCAGCCCAATGAAGCAATGACTTGCTATCGATATGATAGGAACAAATAGTTGGAATCAATTGTTTGAAACAAGTAAATGATTTTTCTATTGCCTTCTATGTAGATCACAAACATTGAACCAACCTTTGTACTGCTACCAATAAACACGGTGATACATAATACATATTGTTGTTTACCTTTTATTGCTAATACGGTCATATTATGGACGATAGTTTCTAGGTTACTGTATTGTTATTGATAAATGGTCTATAAGTCATAGTCGTATTGTTAAGGAAATATGGGCTCTAAAAATTGTAGTTTAGAGAGAATTTACAAGATTTATTACTTGTCGATATTTTGTTTCACTATTGTGTGTATTTTTATGGGATAAGAAACTGATCACCTGATGGTAAGCAATCAGCGTTGCCCATGGACACCCGGAACATCAGAAGCGTCATAAGTGCGTTACCGACCTTTTGGGGATAAGGAATTTGAGGATTGTTGAGTATTCAGAGATTGGGGAGGGTGGTGAGGAGGGGGGGCTAATTGGGCCCTCGGTAACCTCACACGGCGTGAAACAACGTTTGCGTTGTCGTCTTTTTTTGAGGCCGTGGTAACATTCTGGACGAGCCGGACCATTCGTGCCGAAGCATGGATCTCCCACGTGCAACACACGAGAGTGGTTGCGGTTAGACAAATCACAAAACTCTGGACACTCTGACATCTGAATGGACAACCATATTTAACGTAATATATTGATACCGAAGCCATTAAAGAATAAACTTGAGAAATTTATTCTTTATCGCTTCAAATAGTAAATACAGATAACTAAATTCATGTTTAAACTAGTTTAAAGGGGAAAAGGGTATGACAGTTTAACGGCCCCAATAGCGCAGCGGCGGAACGGCTTCCGGAACAAAGATTCGATTTCCGCACCAGACCTACGAGAGCGAAACGTTGAAAATAAGATTAGGAACAGTAGGAAGTTTCTACTTATTTTTGTTTATAGGTATTTAAAACATATTACTTAATCTGTAAATGTAATCAGTAGCAAAGACGTGTAGATGATGTAGGGCTAAGACAATGTACACAAGTATCTAAGTACCTGTAGCTATCTAGCCTACGTAAGCCTCCGACTGTCAAAAGAAAAACCCCCCACTAACGTAACTCATACATTCTCCCTCATTGTCTTTAACGTGTTACCGAAAATGTATTGATTTTATTAATAAAAGCAGTTATTTCGTCTCCTTTACAAATATCAAAGAAACTTACTAGGTAAATCTACTAGCAAGTTACTAGCAGTCCAGTTCTCATCTTCCCTATTCCAATTTCCTAACATAAGCTTCTAATTTGACCTTTGAAATACAAGACTTTCCTTAAGAAGATATGAGAACATTTCTCCAAACCGTTGGCATGCTTCGAATACTCGTAAAGCTATGTAAGATATCTGTGTATGTACCAACAATGTGACAGTTTTGGAAATAAGCCAAGTAGCTACATTACATGTAGTTCTTATAGTCCAAAATTGTTGTATGAAAAAAAGAAAGCCTTGCGAATAGCGATAGCAAGTGTAATTTATATATAGGACAATGTCTAGTGCGACAGCTTGAGCTCTGTACCGAAAATAGGAAAAGTCTTTCCTAAGACAAGTAGTAAAAAAGTTTATGTAACATTTCCCTTTTTGGCACTGGCTTTAGCTCGTTCTCAACTACTCACTAAGCTTGAGGTCAGTATAAAAAAAATATAGTTGACGTTTTGAAAGATTCAGAGAACTTGTAATCAACAATTTATGCAACCAGACCAGATACGAGGATTGGAAATCTAGAAAAACTATCAGAACAAGGTAACAAACGCTTTCAAATAAGTGATCATTTTGCGAATCTGTTCCCCCACAGATTAAATTGCATCATCATTTGGACTTCAGACTCTGACTACAAACTTCTGAATCACGACTCGAGAAAAACCTTGGAATGGAACAATTTTTCAGTCTTTAAGTAGCGCAAAAAACTGAATATGACCGCACAGTGTAACTTATATCAGAAGATACAAAATTACAAAGTAGACTGAATCGATGATAACTTTACTAGATAAAAACTTGACCGGATGACCTTAATAACACAAGGTCATAAAAAGGCCATAAATTAAAAAATAACAAATGCAATCTCAAGATTTCAATATAAAAATTATAAACAAACAAAAAAGTCCTACCTCAGATGCTTGAGTCAGTAACACCAGCGCAGGTGAAGATCGGAGTACGACTGATAACAGTAGCACATGTCAGGCGTATATCATAATAACAATCAATATCTATACCAACGTATGTACACATGTATATTGCACATTGGACTTTATAACACTTAATTAACGGCAAAATGATCTTAATTGAACTTCCGTTAGAGTTCAAATTTAGGTAGGTCGGTACGATTTTATTACGCTCATTCCTAGTTTATATTGCCTTGACGTCAGGCCTTTGAGCCCGTGTTAATAAATTAATATCGTGTAAAGAGCTCTCTTGTAAGCGCCATGTAAAACAAAAATAAATTTATGAAATTCTGATGAAGTTATTCTGATTTCATTTTGTGAGAGCGGTTCATTTACATGGAACTTAATATTGTGTTTTAATGAGCACGACATTTTTAGGCTTCAACCCCACCTAATAAATAAGTAGATTCTATAGAATAGAATTTGCTTTAGGTACTGTTTTACTTATATATATACCCATAAAATATAAGTTTAGTATTCATGATCTTATTTCCAGGATATATATGTGTGATAGAAATGAAGGTGATAAACTAGGTAGGTACTTACATACAACACCTTTATAAACATTATGTAAGCATTACCTAAGCAATTAAAGAATTAAAACATTGTTAAGTAGTTACAATTCTATTGAATTGCGTACCTAGAATTTAAAATTGAAAGAATAATTAGTGCTCAAGTAAGTAGTCTTAAGTACTGTATGAAACCGTAAAGGAATTCTTTTGAAAAGTTGATTAACACTCCTAAATTGATTTTCGCGCTCCATCTAGTCTTAATTAAGTTAGAAAATAATTCCAATCGAGAACTTTTATTGATAGTTCATATGAACTCTTGTTCGGACGTCCGTTGATCAGAAGTCAGAGAATATGAGCATAGACATTTTTTTAAATAAAATCAGCTGTTAGGTAGATGCAGGATTGTAAGTCATAGGGTCATCAATTCATCGTGGATTTATTTTGTTATAAATAACAGTTTTCTACCTATTTTTGAAAGGATCTAAGTTGTTCTGTGTTGTCTATATACAGATCCATAACGATCACCTACGGTATACCTTACCTATTTATTATATTCGCGTGCATAAATAAAATACAGCTGTTTTATTATCTGCGTTATTTATAAATAACTTATCTATATAACAACGGGAAATAAAAATAAACTGATTAAAGCGTAAGCTGAGTTTCTAAAAATAGGATTTAAAAGTCATATGCGGAAAATACAAATGTAACAATCCAAGGACGTACCTACCTAATAACAAAAAACTGAAATCATGATGACGAAAAAAAAATCGATAAATAAAATAGGTGCATGTAACGAAATCCGGCTGATTAAATATTTGAAACAAATCGTCATTGCACCTAGATATTTTATGGCACACGGTATCAATTTTATGAATTAAATTTTTTGAAAATATAAATGCATTAAACTTACTTGAAACTCTCCAATATATTCCTATTTAATTCTCCAACACATTTATTTAATTTAGTAACACTACACAGCACGATAAACGGAATATGAAACACGAACGTCCTTAACCAAACTAAGCGTTCAACCAATTTCAAATCAGGCTAAATTGCGAAATCACGCACGCGTTACAATTTATCATTTATGGATCTTAATTTAGTACACTACACAATCTTCAAACACACAAATAAAATAATCACAGAATCATGAACGAATAATGTTTACTTTTCCCGCCAAAGCCAATTGCCAATGTCATATTCAAAAAACGACCGGCTGTTTGTTTGAGCAGTAAAAACTGATTTAAAAAAATACCGAAAACATAGACACTATTCACGTTTTATTCACTGTTTATAATGCAAACGCCGTTTAAAGAATGATAATAATGTGTAACTAGGTAACGTTTTATCAATGTTATTATCGTGTGTATGGACTTTAGAGATGGTCAAAGTACCGATCTGCAGTTACAATCTTTCAATTGTTTTTATCTTGATTGAGTATAGATAATTTAGTGTTAATCCAATGGGTGATAAGAATAGAAAAGGAGGTCAAGTTTTACATTTGGAAGACTGACACATACAGATAAAAAAGTTTTCAGCCTAATTTAATCTTGTTGTAGAATGAAAACCCTAAGACAAAAAAAATTTGGAACGCTTTAAATAAGAGTAAGTACCCATGTAACTACAAATCCCTAAATCAACTTTGGTTGCAAGAGACCTAAAACTAAATCCATCTAAGTAGTTTTTAACGTTTGAAAATAAAATGTATAAACCTCCACATTAAATACTTACATATAAATCATATAATCAGGATTCCTAAATATCGATAATACTTATTTATAAAAAATATATCCTGCAATTTTTAACAATTTTAGGCTATTTCTAAATGAATATTCAATATAATTGTTATATATATTTAATATAATTATTATATTTATAATCAAACACGTCTAAATTACAGCACGCATCTTTAAGTACTCAGTAGGTTACCATTTCCCACTAATAAATACTTGGGTTCGTTAGTTATACTGCTATTAAAACGTCAAACACCAAGCGGTCACCGGTGACCGCAACCTATTGTTCTATAATTGTGTCTACAAAACCGGTACTCGACGAGTTAATTCAGTCTTTAATAGGTGTAAATTATAATACGTTTTTATTGCCATAACGAACATGGTTCGAACATTGAAAACAACATCCAGACATCAGTTACGAGTACCTATATTCAAAGGAGTAAAGGTAAGCCTGTCATGTCAACCCACCCTGTCCATTCAACAATTCCTTCCCGATAAGTATTATACCACGGAATACAGATCTGTATCCCGATAAGTATTATACAGTAGGCACACAAATGACGCATTGACAATTCCAGATCAAAGTGAGATTTCTTTTTAGATGCGAGGATTAAACCTTACCAAAAACCTCATTAATTTAAACACACACACAACATCCACTGCTGATCAAAGGCCTCTTCTCACACGGAGAAGGTTTGAGCATTAGTCGCAACGCTTGCTCAATGCGGGTCGGCAATCAAAATTATCACTACCTTTACATATTATGAGAGGTTGCCAGTACCTATCATGCTGGCAGGTCGGTTGGAGTTGGAGATCGCTGGGTAAAAGGTTAAGAGTTATCAGAGATCGCTGATGTCCGGTCTCTGTTAAATGTGTAGTCCGTCCGTAAGCCAGTTCTTTGACAACCGCAGAAAGAGACGTGTTGGTGACATAGGTACTGCAAAACAATTATGACTACAATAGGCGTGTCGACAGGGTAAAAAAATCAAAAAAGTAATTAGTCCGTCATTAAGATCGCACGAAAATATCAGACACGTATTTTTTGTTTTATCAAATGAACAGAAGAATACGTAGTTATTCCGCATTAAAGTTAGGGAGTGGGGGGTGTTGACGTCACACTTACGAAGAAATCGTACCTAATTGTGACGTCACGCGTCATTTTAACTCAAAATATCTACATGTTTTTTTGGATACGAGAAAAAAGAAAAAATACGTATCGAAGACTTTTAAAATATCTAAAAGACGGACAAAAAATTAAAAAATAGTCGCCATGCCTATTACATGTACCTACATGTAAGTAATTACATCACTTCAATGTGATTCGAATGAAATGCATTTTCATCATGCGTGAGTCATTGCATTTCTCGCGGACTGCCGTACTACCTATAGCAACACTCGTTATATTTCGTTCGTGAGCGTCATCGTGTTACGAATACGAGTAGAATTGAAGTGACTGGGAACGGTTTCACGATTCTTTGAAGTACCTGTCTGTCTGCTGCTCTCAACTCCAGTGTAAGTTCAAATGTTCCAGACACATTTGAAAGTATGCATTTTACGGCAGATGGTGCACATTCTTTTCGTATCTTTTTTATTACCTACAAACGTTTATAATAATCTTTATTATTCGGGTTTTCTTAAATCTTATGCCCTTTGTTCCAAAAAAATATCATAGTTCAGACATTTTGTGAATATTAAAAAAAAAAGAAAATTTTAATCCAATAAGAATATTACAGTTCGCAGCTAACAAACTAGATGGCGCTAGCAGTCAAATAAGAGCACGGACAACTGAATACAAAACAAACACGATCCCACACAGATAACTCCACAAAGTAAGGTCACATGAGATATTGGGGACATAGATGATAGAAAACAATTTCCTTTTGTCATTTCTAAATAGGGCAATGTGTTTTTCATGTGCTTTCGATGTCACTAAGTTATAGTGCAGATATTTATTTTGATGAAAATATATACAGGAATTTCAAACTGCGCGCTTTTACGCGTAGATAGATAACGTATTTATTTTCATACTACGATAACGTCTGTTAGATACGTACGATATTCGAGTGTTTTCTCGATATTTATTGTAGTACTTTGTAGATACGTGCTTCCTAAATAAGTAATTTTATTGTCTTTGCGTCGGTACGCAATTCAAACGTAAAGTAGACTATTTGCTAATTTATTGACCTTTTTGTCTCTTCAGTCACTGGTTTATAGCATGCTGGTACGAACATAAAAGCCCGTATCATTACCCGGTTTAAATCCATTACAATGGTTATTGTAAGTAAAATCAATGGACAACTGCCGAGGTAATCTATTCGTAGTAAATGAAACTATTTAATTCACGTCGCACCGCATAATTGCACCTATACAATTCGAATGCCGTTGAATATTGAAAATAATAAAATTAAATCGTTGCATATGCGAATAGGTTGGCTTTAAGGTCGAAGTGGTGCATAAGTAGAAACAGTAATCAAAGTTATCGATCGTACTACACCTCGAACGAATTGAATGGATAAAACATTTCGCTTCGTGTATTGTTATTGGAATTTGTACTATTCCATTCTACATATCGATTAGCACAGTTTAGTCATTAGTCTTGTCGCGGAGAACCTAACGGGTAACCGGGGCTCCGGCTCGACGTGCAGGAGAAGGAACGGGGTGGTTTTTAGTCAGTAAGAGTCTGACACTCCCTCCCGCCTCACCCAGGCGGGAGCAGTCATTCGATGATTTTCCCCCCTTAAAAAAAAAAAGTCATTAGTCTTGTCAAAAGCTATTCTATTATGTGTGACTAGAGTGCGTCCCTGAGATACTTAGTAGGTACCTACTGAGTAGAAATTCTAAACATAAATTCTTCTAACTAAATGTAATTTTCTTTTTGACGATGAAGAAGATCCATTGGCCAAGTTGTCGTCTGATTTAAGTGATTGTTTCTCAATGCAAGGCTAGTGTGAAAATATCAAATAATTTACATAATTAAAAGGCAGTGAAAAAGGTGAAATGCAAGATCTTTAAAACCCAACTGCATTAAGATCCTTCTCATTTTTAAATTCATTAAAAATTAATGGTAAGCGCCTATGCACAAAAAACTCATTGCTATGGCCTCGAGTAAAAACGATTTCTAAGCGAAAGAAGGTGATCACCGCGCTTACTATGAAGAGTAATCCATCATCGTCCATAGTAGTTACATGCCAGCAAGGCGTGAACATTACTTGTACCTATATGTGTGGAATGTATGAGTAAGATGCTCTTACTATCACATTGTATCTTTGTATGAAGAGATAAAATTCCATACTACACCCTTTATACTAAGAGATCTCAATTGGACATTATCAATAACATAACATAGCATCATGCCTTTTATCCCCGTAGGGGTAGGCAGAGGTGCACATTTTGGTACTTAAAGTCGCTGTACAATGTAACCCTCAGTTTTCACAATTTATGTTATGAGTCCCATGTAATAAGGGGTGAGCCTATTGCCATATCCCGCCGGGCACAATTCCAGACTCCGAGTTACAACTGAGATTTTTTTTAAACTCAGTAATACTTTGCCCGACCCGGGAATCGACCCGGGGATGCAATGAGCATTATCAATACTAGGATTGATAATGCTCATTGTATTCTATTATAACTAGTTGTCGCGGAGAACGTAACGGGTTACCGGGAAGGAACGGGGTGGTTTTTAATCAGTAAGAGTCTGACACTCCCTTCCGCCTCACCCAGGCGGAAGAACTGATGAGATGATTGTCCCCCTTAAAAAAAATTCTAAATAGTTATACACGTGTATGTGTACCTATTTAAAGGAA